TTAAGCAGCTTATTGTTTTAACTGCATAACTCATTAAAATAAAATGCATAGTTTTATAGCCCTCCTTGATTGAGACTACGTGGCTCATTAATGTTTGATACACCTGCCAAGGACTCAGAGGAAGGCAGTGAGCCTGGTGCTGGGGGCCAGCGGGCTGAGAGCCCCACCCAGGATGTCTACCCTAGCGAGCCTGAGGGCAGTGGAGCACACTGCTTGGCACTCTGGAGGCAACACTTGCCTGAGCAAAGTAGCACCTTGCAGGGAAAGAGTGGGCAGGGGCAACAAATGTGAACATTGGTGCTTTCTCAAACCTCTGCTTTCTCAGAGCTCTGGCTAGGGCTGAACGTTTTCACAGGCTGTGGCTGAATATGATAACTTGGATTTAGCTGTCAGGCTGCAAGGCTTTTGTGGACAGAAAGTTGAGATTTTCAAGACAGATATGACCTTGGAAATCTTCTAGCTGGGGTCCTAGAGTGGGTAAGAGATTTGCTTGAGGTCACACAACCATGAGTACAAGAGCAGCTGGAACACTAGTGCTTTTTTTTTTTTTTTTTTTTTTTTTTTGTCTCTATGGTTTAGGGTTCTTTCTGCCTCCCTAACTAGGGTATTATGATTTGGGGCCACAGAGATACACTGTTCCTTCAGGTGGTGTGGCCCCCACACTCTCTGTTCTCTGACACCCGGTGGCTCCTTACAGCGGTGCCTGTTACTCAGCCTGAGTGCTACCTCTGGCTGCAGGGCTATGCGTGGTGAGTAGGCAAGGCACCAAGGAGTTAAACATCCCAGGAGCAGCCTTCAGTCAATGACAGATGAGAAGTGACAGATGAATATGCAACTCTTTACCTCTAGGCAGGACCACTCTGAGGCATGTGCTTCACTGTTACTCTCAAAAGTACGGTCCCAGGGCCAGCAGCATCAGCATCACCCGAGAACCTGAAAGAAATGCAGATTTGCAGGGCCCACTCACTTCAGACCTACTCATCAGAAACTCTGAGGGTGGGGCCCAGCAGTCAGTTTCAATATCCCTTCCAGGTGATTTTGATGCACGCATGAGTTTGAGGATCAACCCTTTACAGTCTCCAGCGCTTCCTCAAAGCCCTGTTTGCTCTGTGATAACCTGCTTATTAATGTACCCTGCTTGTTCTGTCTGCTTCTCTTACTTTCCTAGTTTTTGACTGGTGATTTCTGAGATCATTTCCCGAATAAACAACTTGCCCTCAAATCCTTGTTCCCCTGTTTCTGCAGCAACCTGAATAGTACCAAGGGCTCCAAACACATCTGAGGTTTCTTTTTCTTTATAGCCACAGCTGGTCCTAGAAGCAATGTAGGTTGATGCAAAGCCCTTGATAGGTCATACCATCTTGGGCCAGTAATTTAACCTCATTGAGCTAAAGTTTTCTAACTGAGAGCCTAAATTTTGGTGACTGAAGGCCTAAGAATCAAAAGATGTGGGTGAGTGGAGTTCAGTCTTCTTTTCTAGTACACTCAGTATTTAGGGACTAAATGATGCCTCCTGAAGGACGGCAGATCTCCTTTCCTAATACATTTCTGCTGCAAGAATTTTCCCAGAGGCCATGAAAACTCTGGGAGAAAGGGACTGGGATGCTGGTCACTCACTTGACATCGAGTTTCAAAGGTAAATCAAATTATAGGAAAGTAGTTACAAGAGAGGGCAGCAGCCTCCCTGAGGGCTTAGTACATTTGTTTCAGTAAACCGCATTCCCTTGAGGGTTCACTGGAGCAGGCTGCTGCTCCCAGATATAGCATATGCCCAGATCCACCACCCCAAGGGCACATGCCAGACCAAATGGCCACCAGTGTGTACTGTAATTGTTGTAACCTATCTATGAGCTGTGACACTAGGGGATCAGATGTTCAGCCATGGAGCACCCCTCAGCGAGGATGATACAGAGGGATGAGTGTCCTGTTTCTCACCATGTGAAATCCTTAGGACGAGAAAGAAGGGTCTCTACCTGAGCTTTCAGAAGCAGGCGGCTTAGCAGTGACTGCAGGGTTGAGGAGTAAGATCTCAATGCCAGTGGGAGGGGATGGTTTGGTAAAAACCAAATTCCTGTGATCTTACCAGAAGGTTTGAAAAGCACCACAGATCGCTGGTTCTCCTCTCCCCCAGCAGCCTGGCAGACACTGAAGTAACTGAAGCCAGAGGCTGGCAAGGATGTTGGGAGCCAGAAGTTGCTGAGCTCAGTTTCAAGTAAGGCTACCGCCATCCAGCCCTTCCGCAAGCCAAAGCAGTGAGCACTAACTTTGTATTTTGGAGAAAAATTTATGAGAATTTCTGGCAATGAAGTAGGTAGAGTTGTTGCAATTTGGAATATTCATGTATACATATACATGCAATATACATGCATGTATATATATTCACACACATACACGTATATCTGCATGTATTAATACAAACCACGTATATTTGCATGTATTAATGCACAACCCCATTGAGAAGCTCAATAGATAGAAAGGCAGATAAACCTCAGCTGGCTGTAGTGGGAACTGAGTAAGTTAACAGTAGTGCAACAGCTCAAAACAGTGCCTGGCATAGAGGAGACAATAAATGTCAGGAGTATCCCCATAAAGGCAGAGGGGCAACCATATGGAATACAGTGAGGAGCAGGAATGTCTCAGACTCATGGATGCAGGAATTTGGAACACAGACATCCAATCAGTCAGTCTGAGCTCTCAGCCCCCTCCCTCAGGTCCTCCATGGTCAGCCCAGCAGGCTCCATTCACAGATAAGGAATGCAACCCCTGGAGTGTACATGTGGTGACCTGGGCCCCCAAGATTTTCCACTTTAATCCTGGTTTCACTCTCCACTGGAGACACAGGATTCCTGGTGTTAGGTCAATGGTCATTGCTATCAAAGCCAAGAAAAAGAAAAGCTTACAGCTTCTCAGTGTTAGCCTCTAAGACCCTGAAGACACACTTCATATCTCCCAGAGCTGCAGTAATATGCTAGCCCACATACCAACATTGAAACTGGCTGTTCCAACCAAAGGCACCAACCAGTACCAATGCGTGGCCAGGCCACTCTGAAAAATGTACCAGGGTCACCAAACCACAAAAATCACTTCCTTTAAACAACAACAACAACAACAATGCTGGGCGCGGTGGCTCACGCCTGTAATACCAACACTTTGGGAGGCCAAGGCAGGTGGATCACGAGGTCAGGAGATTGAGACCATCCTGGCTAACACGGTGAAATCCCATCTCTACTAAAAATACAAAAACTTAGCCAGGTGTGGTGGCGGGCGCCCGTAGTCCCAGCTACTCGGGAGGCTGAGGCAGGAGAATGGCGTGTACCCAGGAGGTGGAGCTTGCAGTGAGCCGAGATCGTGCCACTGCACTCCAGCCTGGGCAACAGCGCGAGACTCCATCTCAAACAACAACAACAACAACAACAACAACAATGAAGAGTTGCTTTGTCACATTTTCAATTACAATTAAATGAAGAAATGGAATCAGCCACCACAAAATACTAACTATAAACTTCATATTTGCACCCTGCAAGTGTCGCTCTTTCTCAAAATACAACCTTGCTGGATTTTCTCCTTCTCATCCTTCACTGGCGAAAATTAGTGATGGAACACTCCCATATGTTACTGACAACAATGCAGCCTTCTAAAGGGCTAGTATTTGGCCGGGTGCAGTGGCTCACACCTGCAATCCCAGCATTTTGGGAGGCCAAAGTGGGTGGATCACATGAGGCCAGGAGTTCAAGATTAGCCTGGCCAACATGGTGGAACCCTGTCTCTACTAAAAGTACAAAAATTAGCCAGGTGTGGTGGTGTTTGTCTGTAATCCCAGCTACTCAGGTGGCTGAGGCACAAGAATTGCTTGAACCCAGGAGGCAGTGAGCCAAGACTGTGCCACTGCCCTTCAACCTAGGCAACAGAGCAAGACCATGTCTCAAAAAAAAAATTAAATTGAAATAAAAGGCTAGGATTCATCCAGCTAGAATGGGGACATGGGAGTGAGGGTTTCTGCAGCACAAGTGAAGTCCAGTGACTCAGTAGCCCTGGGTTGGTATAAAAATGCTCATTGCCTTGATTTACTGAGTGTCAGACAGGGTGGTACCTGCCTTCATACAGTATTGCTAGTTGTCACAACAGCCATGCAGACTGCTAATTCCTTATCCTGTGATCTTAGGGTATATAGGAGTTTCCAGATCTCTAACCCTGCTACTAGTGAGAGCCCACAATGTGCCACCTCCTGTACCAGCTGTTAACAAGTGGTACTTCTAATATTGACCAATCTCATGGTTGCCAAACTGTAGTCTTACAAATGAGGAGAATAAAATGGAGCCAATATTAACTGTGTTGCTAATGAATGACTACTGTAGAGGAAATTGGACCCTTCTATTTTTTCAAATCAGTAATTACAGGGCACACATTTTAAAAGAAATAAACTAATATGAATGACTTCCAAATATGATTGGTAAAATAGACAATTCTTTCTAAGAAAATATGTATTTTCAAAAAACTAGCCGGGCAAGGTGGCGGGCACCTGTAGCCCCAGCTACTTGGGAGGCTGAGGCAGGAGAATGGCGTAAACCCGGGAGGCGGAGCTTGCAGTGAGCTGAGATCCGGCCGCTGCACTCCAGCCTGGGCGACAGAGCGAGACTCCGTCTCAAAAAAAAAAAAAAAAAAAAAAAAAAAAAATGTATTTTGTAATCTTGGCTTTTTAAAACAGCTTTAGCAATATATGTATGCTATACTTTAGCAAAGTATATTTTACTTATAAAATTTATACATTTCTGGTGTATAATTCAATGCATTTTTAGTAAATTTATAGAGTTGTACAACAATCACTATGAATCAATTTTACGAGGTTTTCAATATGATCCCTTGTGCCAACTTACAATTAATCTCAATTTCCACCCCAGCCCAAGGCAACTACCAATATATTTTCTTTCTCTATAAATTTGAATCTTGGCTGTTCTTTAATGCAGTTCTTGGCCTCTGTGTTTTTATTTGTCCAACTGAAGATTAGACAAGAGGCAGCATGGGGTGGTGGATAAATCGTGGACCAGGAGCGAAGCAAAGATCTGCTCACCTGGGACACTCACCAGGTAAGTGAGATTGAGAAGGGGACTCCTTTTGGATCTTAGTTTCTTCACTGACTAGCAGGCATTGCAAGACCAGTTTTGCAAGGCTGCTGAGAGTCAACTGTGCAAATATGCTGTGAACTAGGTAAGTGGCATCATCCTTACTTACAGACGAGGCAACCAAGGCTTAGCAGGTTAAGTAATAGTCCCAATGTCACTCAAGTAGAAAGTGATGGTGTTCATGGAATACTATGCAGCCATAAAAAAGGATGAGTTTGTGTCCTTTGTAGGGACATGGATGCAGCTGGAAACCATCATTCTTAGCAAACTATCGCAAGAACAGAAAACCAAACACCGCATGTTCTCACTCATAGGTGGGAACTGAACAATGAGATCACCTGGACTCGGGAAGGGGAACATCACACACCGGGGCCTATCATGGGGATGGGGGAGGGGAGAGGGATTGCATTAGGAGTTATACCTGATGTAAATGACGAGTTGATGGGTGCTGACGAGTTGATGGGTGCAGCACACCAACATGGCACAAGTATACATATGTAACAAACCTGCATGTTATGCACATGTACCCTAGAACTTAAAGTATAATAATAATAATAATAATAAAAGAAAGTGATGGTGTTGGGATACACACTCAGTCTTTCTAGCCTTGAAGCTCATGTGTTTTCTAGTATACCTCACTGGTCCCCAAAACTCAATCCAATATTGAGCTGAGTGAGTTTTCTCAAGTCTCGCAGCTGTATGCAGTCATTCTCCCTGAGCTTACTTACAGTCAACCTTCAGTATGAACCAGAGACTTCTGCCTCCTCAGCAGCTCTCATTGGCAGCACCCCTGGAGATGCACGTATGCAGACAGCAAGCGCTTTGAGTCTCTTCCAGGTTTACAGCTTCATCTGTGGGTTCTCTAGGGTCCTAGGTGTGTAGCTGCAGACCAGGCATCCAAGCTGCCTCTCATCCAGCATGTTTCTTCCCATCACTTGGAATTTCCATTTCAAAGTGGGTTCATGGCAACTGTCCCTAATCAAGGAGTGTCACTATTCTCATCTTTGACTCTCCAGCTCTGTTATCCAAACATACAGGACTCACCTTCCCACAAGCACAGGCAACTCTCCTAAGAGGCAGACTCACATCCTGCAATTCTGACCTTGATAATCAGACTCTAAAGTTGTTCTGCTAATAGTCATTTGCCAAGGAGTCAATCAACAGATTCTGCCCTAGGAAACAAAGGGGCCATGGCTCAAAGTTTTGAGGACTTGAAACCTCCAAAATGACTATTTGGCTCAGTTCATTTTCCAAAATGGTTACCTGAAAAATATTAAAAGCCCTAGACTCAAGGTCTCCGTGAAATTCTGAACTTGCCTGCAAGGAGTAAGGTAGGAGGTGCTGGATTCTGCTGTTGGTTCTATACTAATGCACACTTCCTTGCAAAATAAGTTTGGTCAGGTCGGTTTTTGTTATTTTGCTTTGTTTAAGTTATTTTCCATAGCAATTCACCCTCCACCCACCAACCCACACTTACTAAGTTCTGTTTTTATGCATTTTATATATTTGGGTTTTATGTAAGACTTTATTCAAAAAAGAATTCCACTACAGAAAAGAATGGAAAAACACTGGGTTTGTTGCCTCCAGCTCTAACAAATAATTTAAGACTTTGTAAAAGATTTCTTTCAAAACTCAGAGCCATCCCTGTGATTGATGTGAAGTAGCACTTAGTTGACAAGCATTCTATTTCAGCAGCTTTCTTTACAGACAGTGTTTTAAGAATTCACCAAGCTGTGATCCTTCAGGAATTTTACTTGGAACAACAGATAAAGTAACAAACACCATGGACTTCTGTGCAGGACATTCAGCCATCATATTTGTTAATTTGTTTTGGTCCTGTCTCTTATGTGCAGGTTATTGAAGGAGGACTAAATAACAAGAGAGTCTTAAGAAAGCCAGTGGAAGGGATATAGCACAAAAAGCAGAAGACGCTTCGATAAAGCTGCACTCATGTTTAAGCTAGGGACCTTGTTTATTTCTTCAGCTCCAAGTTCATACACTTTCAGCCACAGGTGTGTGCAGGACTCCCTTACAGGATATCCTGGCTGTGCATGTATATGTGTGTGTGTGCGCGCGCATGTGAGACCCAAAGACAGACAGGACTTGGGAAGGAGGGAGAGAGAAAAAGAGAGAGAGAGAGGAGAGTAAGATACAGATAAAGGCACAGACAGACAGAAAAAATATTCACAGAGAGATAAAGTTACACCGAAACAGACCTAGACAGACAGAAACCAAGCCTGCAGAAACCAAGATGTTTCTGGAAGGGAAGACAGAAAAATAGAAAGACACAGAGAAACAGAAAGAGATGTGGTCAGCCAAAAAATATTTGGTGACGATAGCCTAACAAGACTTATTAACACAACACAATGTATGAATCTTATTTAGATGCTCATCTGAATGAACAAACTGTAAAAAAAAAAAAAAAGTGGAGTCAGTTGAATAAATCTGAAGCACTGATTCAGTGTTTGATAATAGCAAGAAATTATTCCTAACTATTGAGTGTGTTAATGGTATTGTTATGTTTTAATCGAGCCATTATCTTTTAGAGACACTTTCTGAAATGTTTAGGGGTAAAATGATACAATGCCTGAGCCTGGTTCAAAATAACATGCAGGGAGGGGTGGGTGAGGATGTCAATGAAAGATTATTAAAACTGGGTGATGGGAACATGGTGGTTCCTTATATTATTCCATAACTTTTGTGTATGTTTGAAATTTTCCATAATATGAAGTTTAAAAAATTGTTAAATGCCTACCATGAGTCAGGCAATAGTGTAGGGAATGGGAAATAGGGTGAACAGGATAGAGGCAGGGATGAGAGGGACAGACAACGGAGATGGAGGGATGGTGACAGAGGCAGACAAAAATCCAAAGAGATAAAGGAGAGAGGGAGGGAGGGGGTGGGGAGGATGAAGGCGTGAGTGCTGTGCTCACAGCCATGTACAGAAAAGAGGCTTCATCCCAATGATATTAGGGTAGTGACAAATATTTCGGCATTCCAGGAACCCCAGGGTTAAAAATGAGACTTCAGCAGAAATCACTCCACCTACCACCAGCCATGACAGGAGTTCAGCTCCTGTCAAAGCCTCCCCATATTATATTTATTGGTGTCTTTTGGGAGCTCGAGCCCAAGTCCATTCAGCTGCCACACAACGTTCCCCCAGGCTCCTTTGTCTCTTTCTCTGGCTTGTGGTCCAGGCTGGGCCTCTGCAGGGCACTGCTCTTCTTTCCTCTCACTGGTCACTGCGGTTTTCCTGGTCACCACTCTCATTTCCAGTGGGTCCTTCTCTGCATAGTGGGCACCTTCTTCCTTCCCTCCTACTGGGCACTGCAGCCTGTCCTGTGCACTGCCATGCTTGCTGGGCATGGCCACCTCTTCCAGGTTTTGCTTCTGCCCCACGCTGATAGCTGCCACCCTAGCCAGAGAAAGTGCTAGAGCCTTCCATATGACAAAATGCATAATGGCCTATGGCAACATGGAGAAGATGAAGGCACCTCTCCACTCTGCCTCACATGGAGACCAAGGACAGCCAGAGCTGGGCTGCTCGTGCTCCAGCACTTCGCCACTCTTCATTCGACAGCCCTTTCCATTTTCCCACATAGCACTCTTTCTTCCAGCGATCACATGAATCCATGGGGCTGGGTGGGGCCAGACCCAGGGCCAGCCACTACACTGTACTTCACTCTGCTTCTAATAATCACTCCACATCATTCTGCTTCTAATAATCAAGGCCAAGCATGACCCACCATGTAGATGGAGTAGTAGTCAGGGTTCTCTAGAGAACTAGGACCAATAGACCAATAGACTATATCTAGATACACAGAAAAAGACATATTAGGAAGGATTGTCTCATGCCATTATGAAGGCTGAGGAGTTCCACAATCTGCTATTTGCAAACTAGAAGCCCAGGTCACATAGGTCCAGTCCAGACTCAAAGGCCTGAGAACCAAGAGAGCCAGTGGCATACATCCCAATCTGAGTGAGAAGACTCAAAAACTAGGGCACTGATGTCTGAGGGAAGGAGAAGATGGAAGTCTCAGCCTAAGCGAAGAGCAAATTCAGACTTCCTCTGCCTTTCTGTCCTAGCAGGGCCCTCGATGGACTGGATGATGGCACATTGGTGAGGGGAATCTTCTTTACTCAGTCTACTGATAAAAATGCTCATTTCTTCCTAAAACACTCACAGGCAAACCCCAAAGTGATGTTCTTCCAGCTATCTGGGCATTCCTTAACCAAGTCAGATTGAGATAAAATGAGCCATCACAGATGCTTTCCTCCCATGTGGTTCTGTGGTCTTCAGAAGGCCTGCCCCACTACTTCCCATCCCCAAATGTCTCCAGACATGCAGAGACCACGCTTGGCAGAAAGCAGATCCCTCCTACACACGGTTATCAGGAAGGAGAACTCCAAGAGGGAACACTGCAATTCCTTGTGCCCTGTGCTGTCACATTCCAGAGCCATGGCTCCTGCCTAGCTCCAACCTTTCCATAGACGTCTTCCTTTGTATTTAAATTCAGAGAGACACTCTGAGCCTACTGGACTTACTCCTCGAGACTTAATCCTCCAAGACTTAAGAGGGAAAGATGTGTTTTCCAACAAAGGCAGAAACTTTCAGTGATGAAGAAATGATTCCTCAAACCATACTCTGTATGAGCATGGATGTGTGCAGAGTGTTACCATGCAAAGGGAGGTATTTCCACTTAAGAAGATGCTGCCCCTTCCTTTGTATGTAAGGAGGAAAGGACTCTGGCATTGACTGAGGTAATGTCTATAAAGCACCTGGTATTGCGCTCTTCACTTACAGGGTCTCTGTAAATAAGAGCTCCTTTCCCAAGTCCTATCCTTTCCTCCTCCCCCCGCCCCCACCAGGAAGAGCTCTTTTCTGTAAAGCAGGCAGTTGTCACACTTCTTCCAGGGAGAATTTGCATTCTAAACCTTCTCTGCATTTGCAGGATGATTAAAGA